AAATCAATCAATCAATCAATCAATCAATCAGACCAATCAGGATCCTAGGATCTTGATTGGTCTGATTAATTGACTGATTGATTGATTGATTGATTGTGTGTGTATGTGTGTGTGCGTGTGTGTGTGTGTGTCTGAGAGAGGGGGAGAGAGAGAGAGAGAGAGAGAGAGAGATTGTGTGTATGTGTGTGTGTGTGTGCATATGTGTTTGTGTGTGTGTGTGCGCGTGTGTGTGTGTATGTGTGTGCGCACGCGCGTGTGTGTGTGTGTGTATGTGTGTGTGTGAGTGTGTGTGCGCGCGTGTGTGTGTGGGCGCGCGCGCGTGTGTGTTTTGAAGTAAATTGCGAAGCAACTGAACAACCTGGCTGGGCCAGGAACAGTAAAGAACAACATTTCACACAAGATGAACCAGTAAAGCATCATGCTAGAGTGTCGTTTGGGTCACCATCGTACACCTATTGCCATAGCTCGCAAATTTTTGAATACACCATGCCCTATACCACTCAGCATACATGGGGAGAGGTAAGGAAGATGGGGAGAGAGAAAGAGGTAGCAGAAAGAGAACCTTCTTCGATGGGACCGATCTCCAAACCGAGGAAGGAGGGTGGCGCATCCCTAAAGCGCTTTTCACCGTTTGCGCCAAACGGCTCATCAGAGGGTAAGATGGGCCACAATCTTAGGTTGGCCTTCTACATCAACTGGACCAATTACTAGTGGAGTAGGGGCGACCCTAGTAGCTTGGGAGAGATTTAGAGGATGGTGTGTGTWTGGAGGGGTGAGAGCTCGAGAGGGGGTAGGGGAGTAGGCAAAGTGTCGTAGGTTGGCTAGGTGGGAGGTAGACGATAGTGGCGTGATATTTTTAGCAAGGTGTTATTTAATATGGGATCAAGGGAGCTGTGGGAGAAGGCATCAGTTGGTATGGGGTGGGGGTTGAAGGAAGGTGAGCGATGTTTACCGCGTGTGCGTTGATCTCTGCGTCAGTGGCATGTCAGTCTGAGGCCGCTGCCGACATCGTCGGTGGATTGCCCTAGCCCGATATCCTGCAGTTAATGTGTATCTGCAGAGTTAGAATGTAGTGCCAAGCCACGGCTATACCTTGGACACGTTGTGTGTCCGGGGTTTGCCTTGCCTGCTAGTAGTGGTGAGTGAAGTGGAAGGAAGAAGCTTGCACAAGGTCTGCAGCAGTTGCCGCAGACAGCTATCTCAGAGTGAGGTACTGGTGTCTTGCTACCATGCCGGTTCCGCGAGCGCTAGTCGAGGCATAGACATGTCGTACGAATGAGCAGGAACTCTGTGCTTTCTCCATGTATAAATGTCTGTGGTGTGTGTCGCGTCGGTCTGTGGGATAGTAATCGGGCGGGAGTGTGTGGTGTTCTTCACGTTTTTACTGCCCGTGCGTTTTTTTGTTTCCTTTGTTGGCTGGGGGGGTGT